TTTTTTTTTTCAAAAATTTAATGTTTCAAAAAAATTTAAGTTTTCAAAAAAATAAATTACGTTACGGGAAGTTCCAGCAATTTTCCTTAAGTCACAATACAATCTCCGGCTCATCTTCGAAACGGCTGTACTGATTTTAACGAGGAAAATAATAAGGTCATCTTTTTTTATCTTAACTTACGTTTTTACAATATCTTATTTTAAATCAAAATGTTTAAAACTTCATTTATTTTCTTGTATCTTATTAATCCTACCTTAATTTAAATTATTTTTGTGCTTTTGTTTGCTAATTTGCTTTATTACCTTTAAGTAATAATTTCATCGAAATCGATTGAGCCTTTGTTTCAAAAATACCTCGAATTATTTGCACTACCCGTTTATACGAACGATTTTTTCTAAGGTATGCCAAGTGATCTTAATCTTTTCATTATCTATTTTTTGCGATATCAATAACTTATCTAAAGGAAAATTAATCAATAATTGAAATTGAAATGAATTTTAAACAGTTGATATTATTTAATTTGGTACATAATAATTTGTAGAATTGTTTCAATATTAGAATAATATCAATATACTAAATATGATAACATATTTGAGTGATTAATACGATATTCGAGCGAAATTTGCAAAAATCATAAATAAATGTATTTGTTCTGTTCAACACTTTATTTATTGTTTTATCTAGTTCTATAAACATAGCGTAATTTAATTCTTTCGCAAAAGGTTTATCTTATTTTATAATTTACCAATTTATTAACTCTGGAACAAAGTTATATCGCACGAAATTTATGCAAAGATTTCCTTTTGATATGTAATTGTGTTATGAAGCCGCCAAAGTAAGTGAGGAAATTGACAAAATAGAAATGGTCTCGTGCTAAGTTTTCGCCTTGTTTAAGTCTTTTGCTTCATTAAATATTTTAATTAACATATGGTAGAAGGTGTAACTGATTAGCTGGCTATTAGTATTTTATTGCTTTGCTATATAAAGACAGGTAATAATTAATAATATATACCTGTATTTATATTATCTAAACTCTTACTTTTTATATCTTCATTAAAAATTGCTTATGATATAATTATTGTTGGTTATAATTGTTTTTTGATTTAATTTGTCTTCTATAATAAATTGTTATGGAAATGATCTATATCAATTAAATTATTTTTCCTATATTTCTACATCAACTAAAATTAATATAGTTGAAGCATTAGTTAGACGAAGCTTCAAATCTCTATCATGATATTTTTGTGATGTTAAAATAGTAAATTTTTACATTTTTTCAAATTCTATCCTAAATACTTTGTAAAATCGATAACACAAAGTAGAATAAATTTTCTAAACAAAAAAAATGATATTATTAACATTATACAGGACTCGAAGTTCAAAGAACAGTGGATTTGAAGAACAAATTCCAACAATGATACAAAATTTAAACGACATTAATATCGAACTAAAAGATACGATCAATTAGACAAGACAAAATAAATATATTAATAATCCGAAACCTGTAACTTAAATGTAACAGAAAAACAAAACTAGCTAAACACAATCATACATTATGACTTTGATAAATTATAAATATAAATTTCAATAACAGAAGCGTAGCCTTGGCGGGGCCGTATAAAAAATTGTGAACCCTTAAGAATGGTTCAAATAAAAAAAATTAAAAGAAATATTTATTCATCATAAATATTTATCTGTCGCATATTTCATTTTTTTACGAACACTTCAAATTACATGCACATTCTTTTTGCTTTCTTTTGGTATACCGTTTTATTAAATCATTTATAGTTTATTTATAGGCATATGATTTAATAAATCAATTGATACGTTCGTAGCTACGTCCCTGTCCAAAATAGTAAAGAGTAACATATTAGTATGTTATGTATGCATGGAAACACATACATCGAAGCATCTGAAGGTGCAATAAATTACTCTTTAGATTGTATTCATAAAACAAACTTAAAAGTTTTATATAATATATGCAGCTTTCAGAAATAACGGTCTCCTATTCTTGTTCATTGTTATCGTTTTTTGTTTTCATTTTTCTCATTTCTGGTAGAACAGTTTATCGAAATCCAGTCGTTTCATTTATTTAATTTCAGTCGCTTAAGCCATGATTTTAATTTTAATTTCTACTACTATCTATGTGTTGTAATATTTAATTTATTTTGAATTGCTATCAAGTCATTTTTTGTGTGTTCTTTCTTCAAGTCTATTTTATAAATTTCAAAAAATATTTTAAGATATTGAGAGCGTTGTTCATGTGGCTGGTGGTATCTTTAGTTTGAATATGTTACCAGAAATGAAGCATCAGCGATTCTGGTGCTTTATGCTACATACCTGATATTGGTTTCAATATCTAAATATTCGACAGGCGACGATTTTAAAAGTTGAACGTCGATAAGGGGGCGTCCATTAGTTACGTGATCGATTTTTTAAGGATTTTTGCACCCCCTCCCTTTGGTGATACATGGTGATATTTAAAACTACCCGCCCCTGTCCCCACCAAACATCACGTATATTTTTAGTTAGGAGAAAAAATTGTAAGTTTTTTTTTTTTGGAAATTTTTGGATTTTTTTAAAAAAAATCAGGTAAAAAATAAATACACGTGATATCTTACTATACCCCTTCCTCCCCCACATGATATTTTGTGATTTTTTTACTTTCAGTTTTTTATTTCAGAATAGAAAGACGAGTTGCGAACAGCTTCTAAATATAGTATACAATAATCTAGCTTTTAGCTAGTTACCATATTATACATTTTTTGATAATCTTCTTCCTTTTGAATAAATATATAATATAAATAAGTGAATAATAGTTAATTATATTTTTTCAGGGGGCAGAACCATTAAATAGCAACAAAGAAAATGCTGAAATGAGCACAGAATTGTGACAGTTTATGAATTGCACAAAGTTTTGCCTTCGCAATTATAGTATTCAGTCGTCTAATAAATCTCTTAAACCTTTTAAACCAAGATACATCGAATGAAAGTATAGTTAAAATATGTTATTCAAATATTTATTCACTATCTTAGTCCATCAGGTTATTATTTAGTCCAAGTAATCGAGCAAAAATTTAATTTTTAGTTGAGCACCTTAGAATGCGCAAACTAAATTACACGTTTTTTTAGATAAATCTATAGAAAGTCATTCCACTAATTTTGATTATTGTTAAAGAATATATTTGCATAATACTAATAATTTATCAATCATAATTTGAATATAATACTTTATAAAAATTCTAGAAATTAGTTTGATTTTAATAGTTTGTTAAAATGTTGTATTGCATGTAATATTATAAAAATATATAGAATAAAGTGAATTATTTAACAAAATTAATAAACATCTACCTTAAAAGATATTTAATATTTTTAGGTTTGTACATAGATTTAAAAAGATTTTGTTATGAATCATTTGCAAATTAGGGTTTATTTTACCAGCACAATATGATTTTTTTCATATTATTTTACTTTGTGATATGTTATATTATTATATATTATGAACATATAAATAATGAATTTTGTTCAACATTGTATAAGCCTGGCTTAAAAAATAATCAAAGACCCTTGTTTTAAATATTTACAAGTCTACACTAAAATATTTAAATGTAAAGTGATATATTATCAACTAAGGGTAGTTTTTATACAATTGTACTGCATTGCATTTTATACACATTTTATAATCAAATTCATAGAATATGAACTAGCTTAATCATAGGATGTATATCTAATTTTTAATCCCTACTCCCAATATTGTAATTCCATTGTCAATGATTTCATGCAATTTAAAATGTGTTAACTGTTGTGTTTTATATAAGATAATAACCAACAAAACATAGTCAATGTTATATACTATATCATAATTATATTTGTTATTTCTAGTATTCTAATTTTACTTTGCAAATGTATGATTTCATTTTATATTTTAAATGTACAGTGTAGATATTTAACTTTATTTTTGAGCAATTTTATAAAAATAATTTAGCATTGTAGACAAGAAAGTTATTTGAATTTTATATTCCTTTTTTTTTTGTTTTGCTCTGGCAAGTTTTTTATATTAAATTTTGATTCGTATAAATTTATATAAAAGTTTGTAAAAATTTGATTTGAATAATTATTAGCTTTTAAACAAACTTTGTAACAGCGTGGGAACCAAAAGTGAAAAATATATGTATGTCATTTTAATGAAAATAAACAAAAAAAAACTTAATTACTCACATGCATTCATTTATTATTATGTAATACATCTCATATATATATACAAATCGGACGCTCCGTTCTCTTAAAATCTGAGTTACCGTTTTTAGCACTTTTTACCCTGTTTCTTCAGAACGGCTAGACCTGTCTTTGCCAAAAACTAATCAGCACGTCTCCTTATCAATACGAATCGAATGTTTTTTTAATTATTCAAATCGGTTGATCGGTGTTCCTGAAATCGTCGACGAAAATTTGTATCCGCATACACACAAACGCACATACGTCCATTTTTTCCTACAGGAAGTTGAAAATTCAGAAAATATTTTACTTATATATAATAAAATAGCAAAGAAAGTTTTCAGCAACCAAAAATTCAAATTCAAACCGGAATTTCGATTCAAGATACGAAGCTGAGCTGTAGTAAATTTCAACTCTTTCAACTGATGTTAAAAGATTATGAATAAAAGAGATAGAAATAGATCAGTTGGTGTTAGACCGGATCTGACCTAGGTTGTCAACACCTGAACCATAGATAAAAGAAGAGTAAACCTGAACCATAGATCGCTCTCTCGGCCTCTATTTCGTTGCCACGTTTTTCAGACCAATCTGGCAATTTGCCCGTGTTAGTTGAAGCCCCTCACTACAGAGGGCATTGGTCGCCTGAACAGGTGCGTATAAAAAATACTAAAGAAATGAACCAAAATTATATGGATCGCTATATAGATATATATAGATAGATGGCGAAAGTATTATATGCAATTCATTTGTTTCACCAAGTCAAACCCTTAACACGCCTCACCACCTTATAACGACTAAATAATATTTACTTTGTTTTTATTTCAATTGTGCATATATGAAAATGAGAGACAGTTTCAAAGTGTTGTAGGTTCCAATCTTAGCTAGCCATTAGTCGATCAAGTGTGACATCGCAAAGGACGGTGTTCTCTGCCAGCAGCTGGTTCTGTATAAATGGCCGAGAATTGTATATAAAATATAGTAAATGACAGTGAAAATAGTTTTAAGTTTCCACGATGGAGGAAGAAGATGATGAAATTGTTAAAGAGGTGTTTAAACCATTTTGTAACATCAAATTGTACAACGTGTTTAAATAGGTTATGTTTATTACTCGTGTCGGATATTTTCAGATGCCGGTATATCTCTCCAAAGAATTAGCAAATCAGTTGTACATATTTCAATATCCAGTCAAACCCCCGTCATGTACTTTCGAAAAAGCTCGTGTAATGAACAGTCGTATAAAGCCCAACCACCAGGAAGTGAGAATAGAATTTGCTCTGGACACCTCAAGTGAGAATTATGATTATTCCAAAGGAGAGCAAATTGCAATTAATACTGATGGAGCGACGGCAAGTTTAAAATGTTTTTATTTAAGTTTCTTAATATGTGCAAGAACATTAAAAATGTTATGTTCTACTGCACCAGTGCCTCCATATAGGGCTGCATGCATGCTTACGGTTGGAGAATTGAACCAAAATAATACAATTCTAGTTTACGTAGAAAATCGTGTTAGGTTATGGTAATGATTATTTTATTATTAAATGGCCATGTTGCAAAAAAATTATTTAAATATTGTTTTTACTACATGACTACTGTCACATATTAGACCTTTTTATGCTATACTATATTATACAGTGGAATCCGATTAGTATGACCGGATATATTGACAACCGCTTAATATGACGTAATCGCACTAGGAATTTGGTTTTCATATTCCTTAAAAAAACAGCTGTCTAGTCGGATATATTGACATCGCTTACATTGACATGCCGCTTATAATGATCCATTTTTGCAAAAAAATATGTCCAATTATAATGACCGACATGATTTTACATGATGTGGCCAAGTCTATTTTATGCACACATGTCTTTTAAACACCAGGGACTGTTTTTACAATAAAATTATGTAAAGAAATCAATTAAAAATTACTGATTACTTACATTAAAAAAACACATTTATATGTTTATGGGTAGGGTAGACTTATTATTAATGACACACCACGGATATCTCATAAACAAATAAAATTAGATTTTTTTTAACAATTATATTTGATAGTAGAGGGCTAAAAATGTATAAATTCATAACCAGCCATCACTTTTATTCTTATGACTTTGCTATCAGAAGATAAGCAGCACATGACTGTGATAAAAAAGACCAGCTGAACCTTTACTTTTGGCAATAAAGTAGTAAAGTTTATAAAAAAGCAATTTTACAAGAGACTAATTGAATAAATTGTTATTCCGGCTCTTCTGATGAATATTTCTGACCAATAGCAAATCAATGTAATATACTGTGTTGTCTTTGTAACAAATGTACCCACAAAATTAATTAATTAATAGAAGAAATTGCATCTGTTCGCCCCCTGGTTGTTTCACTTTACCTTTTAATGATTAAAAAATAGTAAAAAAATTTAATATTTATATAATATAATTAGGAATTATGTACGTATATATGTAAGTTTTTCTGAACATAGTTCGATAGATGCTTCTTTGATGTATGTTATGTGTTGTTCATTGGGTTTAAACAGTATAATTACCGTAAGTCAAATTGGACCGTTGTGCCCCCGCCCTACCCTATGTCAATTTTATTTTATATTAAATTTTAATGTGTCATTTTTATTTTTAATTAAAACGTTTGTATAGGCTTTTCTTTTAAATTACTGAAACATGTAACATATTTGTATATTAAAAAGTTTTCCTTCATTACGCTTTTAATGACGACCGGTTAGTATGACGAGATTTTGGAATCCCTTCGATGTCATACTAAGCGGATTCTACTGTATATTCATTCATTTGAACTAGTGAGCCTGCATTGATGCCATTTTGTTGAGTGGCTGTATGAATCGCTTTACTTGAAATTTTGATATAAATGTATTTTGGCTTCTACTAATTTCATTAAATCTTAGCATTCTTAACTGTATTATGGAATATGACAGTCTTTTTACAATTTGTCATCAAATTTTACAGCCTAACTCAAGTAGGGATAACTCTTCGTCCTCTGCATTTTTCAAAAGTGGGGTGATGGACAAGCAATGTTACTCGAGCTCAGGAACTGTTGGCAAGCAAGAAATCCAGAAATATGCTTTAGCATCTATTCGAGATGGTGAACTGCAGTGTACTCCTTTAGCAGGTAAATCATTCTATATCATATTCGGAAACCAATACGACCTTCATTTATGCTCTGAAAATTATTTATAGGAATAGTCCAATTGCATCCTAGTTTTTCATATTTTGACAAATTTGATAAACGAACAAAGGCTGAGGAAAAAGCAGAAAAAGAAGCAGATTTAGATGAAGAAGAAATACAGCAGGTAATAATGAATTTTATGTATTCTATTTTTGACAAACACTGATTGATATTTTTTCTTGTAATTAGGTCACTGTAAAATTTGCTCGTGTGGAAAGTGATAAAGTAAAAAAAGCTCGTGAAAAGTCTTATGGATATCTTTCTAAAAAGAGTGAAGAGGAACCATGGTGTGAAACTGTATATTATCAAAATGATACAAATGAAGCTGAGGTATTCTAAATATTTTTTATAAAAGTATTGATAAAAAGAATCTGGTGAATTTACAAAATCATTTGCTTAAAAAATATGTTTTACTTAATGTTATATTTTTATTTAAAACAAGTTGACATATTACATATTTTTTTTTTTTTTCTAAAGTTGGAAAAATTGCGACTGGTTTGTCAAAATACCAATGATGTGGGCCATGCACTGTCATTTACAGGAGATGAATACTTAAAGTCGTTAATGCCTTTGGAAGTTGAGGATGGTGGAACATTACCTTCGTTGCCTTCCCATGTTTTGTCTCTAAATGCTCTCAAAACATTACCACTATTAGATCAAATCAAACTTCTACTAAAAGATGGTAATTTATTTTGATCATATTATTATTGTTCATATGTTTTAACCTGTTTTTATTTTCAAAAGTGAAGCAATGCAGTTACTGCATTTTATGCATTTATAATAAATAATTAAATAGGAGCTTTTAATGGATAACTATATACAACTATTGATATTTAGCAAAAAAATATATATATATATATATGTATATAATTTATTATCTTGATTTGATATTCGAACATTAGTACCCTTAATTTCATTGAGTTAGTTTGTTTTTAAAATCATTTAGTTTTTTGTTAATATGAAAGTATAATTGCTGTTATATATGTTACCCTTCTCTAGTTGTAAGCTATAAAACTAAATGTTATTTTCTGGAAGCAAAATTTAGGTTTAATTTGCTTATTTATATTAATGATTTAATGCTGAACACTTTTTTTATCATTTTAGCTAAACTGATAACATTTCAACATTTATCACTAATTCTTGCTCAAGAGTCTTTAACAACTGATAAATTACTTAAAACCTTGCCACAAGCTGGTATGCTTATTCGTGGTTGTTGGACTGCACGTTCTGAAGTACTGTATCCTCCTGATACTCGATCTGGTAGCAGTGGGGTTCCTGCTGAATTAATGTGTCGAGGACGGGATTACGTGGTTGGTAACTTCAGTATGGTCTTGTAATCATAGTTTTAAAATAAGGTCATATCTTCGATGATTTTTTTTCAAACTATGTAACTCTCTAATATCAATAAACCATAAATTGTATTTAATTAATTGTTCAAATATGTTTTAGATATATTTATTTACTGAAAATCAATATGTAGATAGACGAAGAGTATCTGCTGAAGTAAAACTTCCACCAGATGAAATAAAGGAAATTCTTTCATCTGTGGCTAGATTGCGATATGGCAAAGGGTGGGAATTATTGATTCCTCCAGATTTAACTTTTGAACAAAAGCACCAAGATATAGTGCAGAGACAAGCATTAATGTGGCAAGCCAAGCAAAGACTGTTTTCTGAAATGCTCAAAGAACCTGTTAATGCGTCAGGTATTAAAAGACAAAGAAAACGATCTCAGAGAGAGTCAGTAAGCCTGGATGATGCATCATCTCCAGTCAAAGGACAAAACCATATCAATGGTCTTGAAGAAACAATGAAATGCAATGGTGTAAACGTTAAAAGTAGTATAATCGAGGGTGAATCTGATAGCTGAAGAAAAGCGAGATTGAGAAGCTGTATTTAGTTGTATATAATTTTTTATTTAATTGTAAGCTATATATTTATGCATTAAAATTTGTTTTTATAAGAATATACAATGAATTTATTTAGTATAAAGATCCTTTGTCTTCAGCATACAAGAAGTATATTGGTACATTACCTCTTGGGGTGTATACTATTTCTTCGTGCCGTATTAGAAATATTGCAGCCAAGCCATATAGCAAACACGGTATACCTGAAACAAATATTAAAAATATATATATCACCTGAATTTTTTACACAATACTATGAGCGTTTACCTAAGTTTGTAACCTTGATTGCTTTAAAGAAAATGTCTTGCAAATGTAAATCCTCATAAGCTCTTTTAGTGCAGTGATATTTCATATATGGGTAACAACCAGTTCTTAAAATTTGATAGTTTGTTCCACTTTCTAATGTCCAGTTGAAATTTGACATACCCCATTGGTCATCGTTAACATCTTTGTACTATACAAATTTTTAATTCAATTAGATTTATTATTATTTATTGTCAGGCAATGGCAATATATTGTTGTTATTCGTAAGATCTAAGATGAAATTTTTATCTCAAAATATTTTTAATTTTATATTTGCAGTTTGTTTAAATTATGAGGAATGATTATTAAAAGTTACATTGAGAGTAAATATATTCTCATTCAGAATATATTTTATATTAATCATTAAAAAAAATATATATATATTTTTTAAATTTCATGTTTATAAAAATACATTTAAAATTTTCAGAATTATATACCAACATTGGGAATAATATATCCAACATAACAATAACGACATTCTTTATGTATTATAAATTAGGTTTCTTGGTTTAAGGGGGTTGTTCTTTTTTTTTGTTACAAAACATGCAAGGTATTTGTTTTTGTTTTTCTCGAAATGTATTTATCATAAAGACATGAGGTTTTTTTTAAACAAAAATTACAAAATCATAGAATATTAAGATATTTTTTATTATTTTTTTGTCGCCGTCATTTTTTAACCAGGGGCCGCCAAAGTGGGCATTGCAAAATCGATCTCGTTTGCGGTGCCACAGATAAATCCGTTGCGCATCGCCTGAAACAAAAAAAAAACGAAACTACGTTGAAGAAGACGTTTGAATCCAGTCCCCCTACCAAAATGAAAGAAAAAAAGCAAGAAGGAAAAAAATGGCAGCTATTTAAAAAAAAAGTGTCCAAAAAGGCCTTTGTTTTGGGACGAAAAGGTTCGCAAAATTTTTTTGCGTAATGTTATCAAGTTCTTTGAGGTAGGGAGACTAGGTATTGCAGTGGTGAACAAATTAAAAAAAAATGCAAGTTGATCCGACTTGTAGTTTTTATTTGATTTGTGGCACCGCATTGAAAAAAGTCAATTTGAGAAAAACGTATTTAAAGTTTTTAATATAATGTACTAAATACACCATTTAATTTAATGTACGAAATACACCATGGTGTTCAAAGATGCTGACACATTAAAAAGGTCATGTGCATGAGGTATTATAATGAAAAAGAGGCAGCTGGCATACAATAGCTCGCGGAACAGATAAAAAAACGCTTTCAGAGGATCATACGTATAGAGATATATATATCTATAACTTCTTCAAAAAATAGATATTGAGATGATTTTTTTTTTCAAATAATTCTAAGGTTTTTAGCTTTCATAATATCAAAAAATCTCAAAACCGAAACAAAAAAATATAAAAAAAGAACAACCTCCTTACGAAAATTGAAAATTATAACTGGAATCAAGAACCATGAATTCATCATCCATGGTAAATAATCAGATATTTAATAATATGTTAGATCATATTTTTTTATTTATCGCATATTGAGATGATTGCTCAAATTCAAATGTACTTGGCGAGAAATAATTACGAACGATTGAAATGCACCGATCTAATGTTTACGTCTCTATTCGGGTATTCGGGCTGACAGTCGGCATCCCATCTATGGCTAAAATCTTAATAATAAATAATACATTAATGTCAATATGTACTTTTATGAAATATGAAGTCCAAGGCGGCTCTCGGCATTGTTTCAAGTAACATGATAAAGCTTCAGACGAAGTTGGTTTATTGATTAAGGACGAATATTTCAAATTGCTGTGTTTAGCACAATTTAATACTTTCAGCATACTGATTCAATCATATATTCAACAATGACTAGAAATATTTTAATATTGCACATTATATTAAGATAATTAATACGTAAGTATTTGATTTAAACTGAACATTGTAATATAACTGAGTGATGACAACAGATTTAACCTTAAATATAGCATTGGATCAACATGAGTGGATTATTTGCCAAACAAACAGTCATGGGGTTTAGACTGATTTTAGCTAATTTCTGTTTTGATTCTCTTACATTTGCTGATTAACATTGGCTGAATTAATGGCATAAGACTGTGATTAATACAACATGGCTAGAATTAAATGGAAAATAAAATTACTACCAAAGATAGCAATGTAAGTATATTGACCAATAGACTATTTATATCTCAATTTATTGACTAATAATCACTTTGTTATTCAGAGACTCATTGAAAAAGCTGCACTATCGCACAAAAATTATTTTCAAGTCTTTAACATATAATCACCATATGAACCAAAGCTATGCAGCCGATGTGGCTATGGAACCTATTTTTTGGATAGTGGACAATTTTACACAATTTTTGGGCCCGGTATGCTTAAAGTTTTATATTCAATAGCTTGATTTATTTTTTATTGAGATATCATTTGTATAAAGACAATTGTCATTTTATACTTTGATTGTTGTTCATCAAATTTGGAATTATCTTTTCTTTATGTGCATGCTATAATTAAAAAATATTGGTGTATCTCAATTTATAATAAACAACATATTGCAGTTTTTTATAGTAGCAGTTACATGCCTAACTACTGCAGTCGTGTTTATAGCATATTGGATTGGCCTTCCTTTTTATTGGAATCGTTCACAACCTCTCACAATTGCTTTAATAATAGTAGGACATTGGCTGTTGATTAACATAGTGTTTCATTATTACATGGGAGTTGTTACTGAACCAGGAAAACCACCAGATGTAAATAAATATATTAGTGTAATATAAAATATAGTCAGTAGCAAAATTTATTAAAAAATATTTTTAAAGTATTTTACTGATTAGTTTTTGCTCCTTATAATGAACACTTATAATGAATAAAATTTCAGTTATATTTGCTTTTTTATAGTAGATAACATAGCAACAACCGCATAGTTAATAATTAATTGAATGCTTTCTTGCTAAATGAGCAATTAAAATAAACATATAATTTAAATTATGAGTCAAATGTCCTTTTGATTGAAAATTATTAACAATATGTAATCAATATATGTTTTCAATTATATCAAATTAATTCAATTTGATTCTACATTACTACATTATCAATTATCTGATATGATTTCATATTCTTACAGAGTGCTATTTTTCATAATCCAAATCACTGTTAAGATAACTTTCATTCAAATATAGTGTTTCATTACTATTGAATGATTAAACCCTTGAAAATAATTGCATGTACATATATTTATTGAAATCCTATATTTTTTTCATTAGTATGGTTATAGTATAAATCTATTGCAATCTGATTTTTTTTTTTGTTCAGGGAGCTTTAATAACTGAAGCAGTGAGTATATGTAGAAAGTGTATTGCCCCAAAACCACCTCGGACACACCATTGTTCTGTTTGCAATCGATGTGTATTGAAAATGGATCATCATTGTCGTAAGTTCACATATTAAATATGGATTCTGTGAAAATTTGATTTTAAAAAGATTTTTTTTATTTTATTCATTTTGTAATATTACTTTGTAATTATTAATATTAGCTTATATTTTGGGGCATTAGTTTGATATTAGCAATATCATAATGCTCAGTAAAAATGTTAAATTAAACTTCTCTTTGTTATATTACAATTTAATATATTAATTTGATCTCCTTTGTTTTTTAAATTCTCTATACTTCTTTTGTTAGATTTTATTTCTTTCATACCATCTGTTCTTTTTTCAGCTTGGTTAAACAACTGTGTGGGGCATTACAACCATCGCTACTTTTACTTATATATGGTTTATATGGTTCTAGGAGTTACTTTTGTTATAATATTTGGGTTTGAAATAGCATATGGTGTACTGTGGGTAGGTTCCAGTGGACATTGGACAGAAGATCACCAACCAGATGGGCATCCCGTTAGATTTAATAATTCAGGACATATGGTTCATGTTGTAAGTTACAAAAAAACATTATAAAAGCTTCTTTTTTTACCCTAAAAAAATAATTTTTGTTACTTGTTTTATAGTTAAATATTATGAAAAACAATGATTCCAGATTATTCCATAAATTGTCTCTGTTAACATTTTTATTTGTTTTTGAAAACAAATATTATATCCATAAATATTTGTACATTCACTAGGCAGAGATGAATGAATATGGTGATGCTGGACCTCCACATCATGATCTTCCAGTACCTGAAACATTAGAGACCGAAATTCTTGCTGATGATACAATGACAAGAAGAGCAGTTCTATTTATGGCGTTGATAAATACAGGTGATTCAGTCATGCTAATAATTAGATTTCAGCAGAAAATCAAAATGTTTTTGTAAAATATAAATACTATGAGTTTGTGATTGATATTATTATTTATTATGAGAGAGTAACATTATAATTGTTATATTGTGACATCAATGTTTTTTTAAGGAGTTTTAAGTCAATGTCATAACTCTAATTGTTGACTGCCCATAATCTTAAAGCAGTAGAGATAAAATTGATGATTTGCATAAACTAAAATCAGGAGTCTGAAGTTATATTTAAAATTTTATTAAATGATAAGTAGATATCGGATAAATATCATAGAGCATATGCCGCAGAACTATGTTTGGAACTTGCTTTTTTGTGTTTTTCAGAAGTTTTGTTATGTAAATGTCTATTTACAACTAAATTAAATACACACTGTAACATTATAATCAGCTGTTTTTGTTATATAACATTCGTTTTTCAATAATTTACTTACAAAATATAATTAGTATGAAGCATTTAACTTTATTTAAATAATAGGCGCATTACCTATTATATATACAGGGTGCTTCAAAAAAATGTATACACACTTTCAATCAATTAGTGGTGATTGTACTTAGAATTGTATTGATGCTGCATGTCACCAATTGGAACAGTATTAACATTTGTTATTTATGTTTTATTTACATTGGACTTTCAGCTTTCTATTTTCCTGAAATTTAACTTTGTAGAACAGTAAATAAAAGTTCAAAGTGTGTATACATTTTTTTGAAGCACCCTGTATATATATATATATATATATATATATATATATATATATACTACATTGTGCATAAATTTCTTCTATTTTATAGCCGTTTTATTTGCGCTGGGAGGCTTATCTATTTGGCATGGTAAATTAATTTCTAAAGGTGAGACTAGTATTGAAGCAAATATTAATAAATCTGAAACAAAGAGATTGGCACTGCAAGGAAAACAATATAGAAACCCATATAATTTCGGAACAACAAAAAATTGGAAGTTATTCCTAGGATTAGTAAGAGGCAGGTTAGTTTTAAATGAAATAACAAATTCTATGGTTTGAAATGCTATAATTATACTAAATTTGTTTTTAGAACTGTGGCAATGCACTTATTATTACCATCTGCTCATAAACCCGATGGAGATGGTTTAACTTGGTATACAGTACATGACGAACAACCCAATGACTGGCCTTGACAAATAATTAAAATATAGCAATCAAATAGGCATAGGAATTCTAAATCAAGTCCGAAAAGGCAATTACCAAAAGTTCATCTTTTAATAAATAATAAAAGTAAGTGATATTATTTATAAAAAATATTTATATTTTTTCAACTTATTTACCTCAACTTTGATGCAGTTATTAGATTTGGATAGATAGATTTATATAATTTTTTCAATTTATATTTATAATTAAAAAAAATATTTATTTTGTTTGTAATATCTGATTCTAATTAAGTCTACTAGAACTTACATTTAAATAAATTGCATTGTATTAAACTCAGATTTGTGTTCACTAAATGAGCAGCTCTTTAAATTAATAAAACATTAAAGTTAATTTATAATCAATTTTTATTTATTTAAAATTGTATGGTAGGCTTAATTAAATGAACATTAAAATTAGGTATAAAACTAGGTAATAAAAACACTTCATCAAATACTAATGGGGTGTTATATTTTAAAATGCTTATTGAGTGAATGAGCCTTAAATTTCCTTACCAAGAGAAACTATTATTTAAAAACTCTTAATTTGGCCAAACAACACTTTCAATCCAGTCAACATACTTGCTGACTCTAGTATAAACACCGGGGCTATTAGGAGCACCACATCCCCTTCCGAATGATGTTATTCCCACTATGTAGAAGATACATTTGTTGCTTTGTTTTGTTATTTGCAATGGCCCACCTGAATCTCCCTGCAATAAAATATCAATAAACTTCTTGCTCATACCCTGATTACATATATTAAATTTGTCCATTATATTTTTGATATTTGATGTAATACTCACTAATCTTACAGTATAAAATTCTCTATAATGATTAGTAAAATTTGTGATATTAGAAATTCTGAAAACAATGTTTTTGCTAATGGTTCAAATTTTAATGAAGTCATAATGATTTGTTTACCTGGCAAGTGTCTTTGCCACCATCCAATTCTCCTGCACACATCTGTGTATCTACAATTCCATTTCTCAATCTTCTTCTATTAATCTGATCAACGTATAAGGGAGCGCATTGCCTATTATCAATAATTTTCAGTACTACTTTCAGTAGGTCATCACTTCTGCTCTCAGCTGTACAATTAAAACATATTAATTATTATTAAAGAAAGTACTATATTTAAAAAATAAGTTTCAATTCTAAAGCAAAAACAAATGCTCAAGTATTTGGAAATACGTATTTAAATGATAATAATATTCTTCCCTTTGATAGTATAATGCCAGCCCAGTTGCTCATATATAATCAAAAATTCCAAATTAAAAATAGAATTAGTATCAAAGTGACTGATGAAATATTATTTACTGTATGTTTGAGAAAATTCTTTACTATCATTGCTGTGTGATTGTCAATTTGAAATGTATAACCCGAGTTAATTATGAATTAGTAAATGAGGTAACTTCAGTGATCGTAACTATGTTTCCTGTAGTATC